AAAAAAAACCATAAAGGAGATTTAACAAACTCCATAAAGGAGAGCAAGAAACTCCACGGACCGCGGGTTGGGGTCTTTAACGACGGCTCCTCCGGCTTCTCTCTCCCAGCTTAAAAATTTTTGGAGTCCAGATCTTAACTAAGATTTGTCTCCTCACTAGATCTGACTAGGCGCTTATGTAAGTTCATAGTATTTAGTTCTGGGGCCTCAGACCTGCTGCTCTCTTTTTAATTTTTTTGTTGTTGAGGGGACTGGCTCGTGTGCATGTTCAGGTGGATGTAGAAATGCACCCGCTAGAAGTAGGGGAGATTGTAATTGTGTGATGTTAACTAGTTATTTCCTTTCTTGGGTTTGTTAATCACTTTTGTACATACATATCTATTGTTTCTTCATCCCACATTTTGATTTCATCAAATTCTAGAGTTACTCGTTGAAGTCTGGACGCTTTGACTGTCGTTGAACCTTCAAACTGGCATTCTACAAATCGTCAAGCATCTTTAACTGTCTTGCATTGAACTATCATCTTGGGTCGTGTCTGATTCAAAGCCATCATGATCGCATAGAGGGCTCGATAGTTTGCTTCTTCTTGAAGTTTTTCGTCGTCAGTCTAGAGATCTTTCAGTTTAAGAACAGCAGCCGATGAAGATCCTTTTCCTTGATCTGGTGCTTTTGGCATAACAGGATTTTCCCAGCCATTCTCTACACTTTTTCTAGCGTCTTTTCCAAGAGATCTTAGAAAAATCGTCATTGTAGATTTTTAGTAGGAGTAGTTTGAACCATCCAATTGCGGAGGCCTAGACATCGATCCACTTTCTGATTCATGATTGCCCAATCCACAAGTCCTTAGGTCTTTCGTGATGTGTACGAAAACTCGCTCTGTTCCCAATTGAAGTTGTATACGAGTATATGAAAACAACCAGAATAGCGCTTAAACCAATAAATCAGTAAACATAAGAAAGTTCACACAATTGCAAAAGAAAAATGTCTCAAAACTGAACCTTCAGGAGAGCGTCCCTCTCCCTCTTCGGAGCTCTTTCATTAATGTAGATATCACAACCATTACTCAAGGATTTACAATGCACACTCCCTCTACACTCTACTTGAAGTAATGACCTACACGACTATTTGTCCAACCACAAGTCCCTTGTGGCTTTTTTAGTTTGACTCCCTCAAACATATCAGAATGAACCTCCGAACACTCTGTTACAATTCAGAACAACAAACTTAACGTGATCAAGAGCGTTTCTTGATTCACCACTCAATAAAAATATAAAAACACAAACTCAAGAGATTATTCAACTTTTTTAAAAAAATGCACACTCTTTTAAAACTCAGTCGTCGATCATTCTTATTCTCATCATAACACTTAAATTCGGAATGACATATGGTAAGTGAAACCTTTTTTTGCTGCCAAACCACGCTCCATAAAGTAGGTTCTTGATTGATTTTGTCGTCTTCATTTATGGAATGTTCTATACAACAGTTGTATCTTCTTCATAAGGAAAGTCCATCTGGAGTGCCTTCAATTAAACCTACATAAATAATACACATTAATTTATTTCAATTAACTAATACCAACAAAATTAATCTAAGAAATAAAGTAGACTTTCCCTTAATTATTCTCGTGTAGCCTATTTCTAATGACAGATAAAGGTTCATCGATTTACTGTCAATCTTCAAGTACTTATAGAGAAGATGATCAAGGAGGACATGTCTGACTCGAAAAGTGCCAAGGGACAATTTCTCATATGGCGGTGGCAATGGGGTCTTTAATGCATCAGACCAAAGTAACATGTTGATTGCAGGATGAGATGCAGGTGATAAAGGTCGATCATAGATTATGCGAGGATTAGATGTAGATGTTGGTGGGACAACTGAGAAGTGTGAAAAAGAAGTATAAAAAAGTGCTTCACGATTTAAGGATCATCACAATGGAAAGAGATCGTCTGAGGGCCAATCTAGAAAATGATAGGGCCTGAAATAAGAATTGATTTGCCACAAAAGCCAAAGAGCATGAGGAGATAATGCGGACCCATACATAAATATGCAACACTTTAATGATTTGTTGTCCAGCATTCGCCGGGATTTGGAGGCCAAAAGTTCCAGGGTGCAGCAACTGACCGAGATTAGTTCCAAGTCCTTTGAGTATGGAAGATAACTTGGTCTCGAAAATGGTAAAAACATTGTCACCATGAAAGATACATATATCGGCATGGCAGAGGGGTACAGACTCAACAAATCTTGAGGAGTGGAGACCGACAAAGCAGAGCAGGACCAAGATTGAGAAGCTGTTGGAAGTGGGCCATGCAGCCAGCATTCAATGGGTTTTGAGGACGCCTGAGTATGGTAAGACCTTAGACTTCATCAAGGAGGTTTATGACTAGCAAAGAGTTCACCTATACTTAACTTCTGACGAGGAGAGCAGTCGAATAAGGATGCGGAGGCAATCTTGAAAGAGAAGATTAGTGGCCCTGTTCGTGCAAAGCCGATATTCTAATTTGATCTGAGATCAACCACGATGTTTCCAGTCTCCTCTTTGGACGATGTAACTCCATCGAGCAATGGGAGAGCTTCAACTGTCCCATAGTCAACTGGTGCAGAGATTGCCCCGAAAGACGAAGAAGGGATTGTCCCATGAACTAGCGACAAAGGAGTGCCATATACAGATGCAGGCTCTTCTGTTGATCTAGAAGCCAATAAGCGAAGAACTCTTACCGTATGTGGTTATCTGAATAATCTATGTTTGGGCGAGTGTGGCTTTAATTTTTTGTTTTTTTTTTTTTTTACTTTTGTTATGTTGCTTTTGCCGAGTATGGCCTTGGAATAATATTCTCTTTGTGTGATCATGTTTATGAAAGCTTGTTTGGATGCCTTTATGACAATTGGTATACAACTTATTTTGGGTTTCAAAGCTTTGTGTAAGATAATCGCATAATTTTCAAAGGTACCTTTTGAAAAATTTTCTAGACTTGATGTTAGTTCGGGGTATGTTGTGTTTCAGACGATCATAATCATACTTAATTTAGAGATTGATAAAAAAAAAGATTTGTTCAATTAGGCCTCGAAAAACGACCAAGGTTTTCTTTTTATTTTATTTTTAGGGTTGGATGTCACAATATTTTTTACAAGATTTTCTACCTGAAAAGTAATGATTTGAAAATTAATTTTGAAATGGAACTATCAAAGAATAATAACACCTAAAAAATTGGTTTTATAGAGACAAAATTTAGATTGGCTAACGACGGTCAATCTTGGATCATTTATCATATGTGCGGTGATTAAAGCTTTCAAGGGCGTCGATTATTTTGATCTCTAATGGTTTGACCATGTTCAGCATTTCACCATAAGTGATATTGATCTCGAACGGTTTGGCTTAGCCTTGTATGGCATTTCATCGTGAGTAATTTTGATCTCGAACGGTTTGACCGTGTTCGGTGTTTCACTGTGAGTGATTTTAATCTCGAATGGTTAAGCCATGGTAGACATTTCACTGTGATTGATTTTAATCTAAAACGGTTTGGGCATGTTCGGTGTTTCACCATGTGTAGTCAGCAAATAATATTGTTAGTATTGATTTATGCGATTTTTCCAGGGAAGCACGTTGAGAGATTAACGCTTGATGGACGTACTTGATCGGTCCCGATACAGGGAGCAAAAACGTCTACTTTGAATGTTTTGGGTGTTGGCAATCATTCTTTCTATCGACACTACAACAACCTCTTTATTGTTTTCTTGGATGGATAATAACGGTAGTTGGACTCGGCAACTACTCTTGTTTTGAAAACGCCAAGGTGTAAGATAAGGTTGGATCCCTCAATATGAGAAGCGCTGAAATTGGGATCGCCTAAACTTTTTTTTTTCCTGAA